GAGCTTATAATTCCATCTCGGGAGTTCTGATGACTCGAGCTCGGTTCTTGTGGTTTATGATGTCACCGGGGCCCATCGATGGAGCCGTAGCCCCATAATTCACCGTCGCCCTGTTATTTATTCTGTGCCATAAATGGCTGCAGTTTAATCACCAGAGTAAATTGCTGAAGCATCTTTGTGGAAACTGTGATGTTACTGTAGCAGTAACTATGGCAACAGCCATTCCATCGTGGTGGCTGATGCAGAGGGAACCAGTAGCTCTGAGCCCTGTGCACCCAGCGAGACAGGAGCGAGTGCCACCCTCAGAGAGGGGAACCTGAGGGACAAGCCCAGACACGCTCTCAGTGGAGAAAAATCCATTAGTTGCTGCTCAGGTGCATGCACTGAGTGTCATTTGTAGTCTCTGGGAAACTGGGGTGTGGATCCAGACTTCACCAGCCTCAACAGACTTCTGGTATTGATTTCATGCAAAGAGATTTTTAGGGAAAACTCCTGACTCCAGTGTGGACATAGAAAGCAGTTTTTAGTTTGTTTTATTCTTCCTTTTCCAGGTCAGGTAGAAAAAAAGAACTGAGGGCACTTGAACCAAATGGTTCAGCACTTCATACAATTCAGGTTTCAGTTTGGGTTTTGTATGGACAGGAGAAGCAGGAGATTCATCTGCACTGTCCTAATTCTTCTTGGCTTGTGGACTTGTGTCCCTCTCCTTACAAGGCCTTGTAGGATCTTAGATTTTAGTGCTGGTGAGGCATAATGTACCTTGATGGTACATAAGGTTCCTTAATTGTTCTTGGCAAAATGCATTTGCCAACCTATTTAATGTCATCTGAAGATGCCTGGTGGTTGTGGATGTGCAGTTGGCATTGGAATAAGCACAGGGCTGTGATGTAGTATCATAATAGAGCATTATTATAACATAAATATTATTTATTGTTTCTTAGTGAAGTGAGATTTATGAGAAGGTTTTGCTTTCCAAATCTTAAGTTTCCATTCAAGCCCCAGATTTTGTAGATTCCCCCATTCCCCGCCCCCCAAAAATAAACCTCTAACTAAAACCTCTGGTTTTTCTGATTTTAAGAAAAAAGTAAGACACTTTTCAAATACATCTGTGTCTCCCTTCCTTTGTCCTTTACTTCTCTCCACTTACTACATTCATTAATTTTTCTCCTTGGGAAAGAAATGAGGGGAAAACCCATTCTCTGTCCATCCTCTTTCAATACCCTGTGAATGTTTGCAGTGCTCAGCTCTTTTTTTCCCCTCATTCCCTCTGCTGAGCAGCCCTGGAGAAGTCCCACAGCACATGGTATCAGTGCCCTGACAGTCTGCTGCTTATGGGAAATGTCATTTTACAATGTAACTTATTATTTTTAACTAAAGGTTTATGATTTTCTACAAGGATCCATTGTTTTAAGCCACGTAGCCAACATGTGTTTCTTGAGGTATCACTTACCTTTTAAGCAAGTAGCAGTTGAGTTTTGGTCAAGCCAGGCTTGGCTGTCTCTGGATTCCTACAATTATTCTGTCCTGGTAACCTGATACAGCCCAGCAAGGGAAGAACAGAAAGAAAAGCCTTTTAATTTATGGTGGGTCTCAGTTCTAATCTTGTAGTTACGTGGACTTCGACTTTACCGTGAATCATTTTTAATGACAGCTGAAGAGAAAAGAATTGAAAAGCAAATCTTACCTTTCTCATCACTGGCAGCTTCTCATAACAAATCAGACTTTTTTATGGCACAGCCTTGCAGTGTGGGTATGATGCACGTGAAGGGCTGTCCAGCAGGAGAGCAGAGCCTTTTCCTGCCTAGCACAGGGTAGATCTTTGCAGAAGCAACTTCAGAGCTGTCTGTGAGCTGCAGTTTTTCAGCTTGTGGAGTCCTAAACGCTGTTTGTGGAGTCTCTCACAAGGAAACTTGTGCTTCCTCGTAAGAAACTTGACTTTCTTGGTCACCTTTTAGAAGGCCTTTGGAAGTTCTTCAGGAATGTGTCTGGAAAAAGGGTGGAAAAAGTTGATGTCAGAAGCCCTCACGGACTTGAATGTAACCAGAATGTCCCTCCTTTCCTCCAGCAAGCCTGGTGACATCTGCATGTAAAGAGAGATCACTGAGGGGGCTTGGGGGTCACCAGTTACAGCCCCAAGGCTGCCAGAGCTCAAGGACTGTTTGGACAACACTCCTGGGGATGTGGTGGGATTGTTGGGGTGTCTGTGCAGGACCAGGAGTTGGACTCAGTGGTCCTTGTGGTCCCTTCCAATTGAGGATGTTGTATGATTCTATTTGCTTTGGAGCCCATGCTGTTGGTCAGAAAAGAAAATGATCTGCAGCAGTTGCTGGTTTGGTGGTTTGATCCCCATATGGGCCATTCGCTCTAGACTTGGACTCCATGATCCTCGTGGGTCCCTTCCAACTCAGAATATTCCATGATTCTCTGTGATCTCGCCAAGAGACCCGATTTAAAGGGTCACCCTTCTTCAGCAGAGCCCATGGCTGTGCACTCAGTAGTCAGAAGGCAGAAGTTTAGTGCTGATGCCCCGAGTGGGGCAGGAGAAGGTGCTGTCAGAGCTGCTGCTGTGGTGCCCAGTGGAGTTAACAGGGAGATGCTCTCGCTGTAATTGGATACTGGCAGTATCCTGCAGTGCATCCACGTGGCAACTTCCCATCAGCACTAACGTGGCTTTCTGAAAGCTCCTCTCTGTTCCTGGCATGGTCACTCCTCGTTGGTGCTGTTGGGAACTCCCCCACCCTTTGTGAGCTTGGCCATGCTCTGGGAGTGACACTGGCCTGGGCCAGGCTGGAGCTTTTCAGTGCTGCTGAAAGAAAACCACGACATTTCTTGGAGCCCAGAGGAGCAATGAGATGCCCTGCATAGCATGAATCCCACATCACCACAGACTTTGCTTGGCTTCTGTCGTTCCTGCGTTTCTTCCACGACCTCCAACTTTTTCCTGTGTGGAGACATGATTCCAACTTAGGTTGGCTACACACTGTGTTCTTTCTGACACATTTTGACAAATTGGGTTTGATTTTACCCTGGAGGTCTTTCCAGACTTAATTTTATGATTGTGGAAGGTCATCAAAAGGGTAGTGCTATTTAAAGACCAAATCGTGTCACATTTACTCACGGGACTAATGCTCTTTTTCTTGAAGATGTCCATTCATTTCAGTGGAACTACACATGGAGTAAATGGCACCAGTTGTAAGCAGAGGCACTTGAGCCTGTCTTACTCATCTCAGTGGACTACTGAGAGAGTGAAAGTCAAGTCCTTGTCCTTGCCATTGATTTTCCAGCCCCTGTTATTTGGAGGTGGTTTTCTGGCCCCCTCTAGTGACTGCCCACATGGGGATTTATGGATGAGATCCAACCTTTTTGCAGTCAGAAGCAGCCATTTCCACCCCAAGAGTAAATGGCCTAAATTTTAGAAGTGTCATTTGAAATCCTGGGTTTGTTCCCCTTTGCTCACAACATTCTCAGGAGCATCACTTTCCAACTTGGTGGATCACATTTCCAACCTGGTGGGGCTTCTTATGGCACTGGGAACTGCTCACAGTGGTTAAGGGTGAGGCAATTCATACTGATGTTAATGTGGTGGCACAGCCCTGGTTATACTCCCATAGTCCAAAGGTTCATGTTCCTTAATGGAAGTTGGATGGTTTTGGGGTTACAGCTGCAGTACCAAAGGAACAGCCACGAGTTAATCAGAGAATCATTTAGGTTGGAAAAGCCCTCTGAGATCATCGAGTCCAACCATGCCCCCAGCACTGCCAGGCCCACCACTAACCCATGTTCCCAAGAGCCACATCCACAGGGCTTTTGAGCACCTCCAGGGATGGGGACTCCACCACCTCCCTGGCTATTCTGTGCCACTGCCTGAGCACCCTTTTCATGAAGAAATTTTCCCTGATATCCAATCCACACTTCCCCTGGCACAGCTTGAGGCCATTTCCCCTCATCCAGTCCCTTGTTCCTTGGCAGCAGAGCCTGATATCCTCTGGCTCCCCCCTCCTGTCAGGGGGTTGCAGAGCCAGAAGGTCCCCCCTGAGCCTCCTTTTCTCCAGGTTGAGCCCCCCCAGCTCCCTCAGCTGCTCCTCTGTGAATCAGAATGTGTGACCTACTGAATTACAGTGAAACCTGGGGTGAGGCTTGGAGTTCATAATGAAAAGGTATTTTTCAAAGTCTTCCTTTTTCTTATTCTTTTCATACTACTGGAACTGCAAAAGGAATCTCATTTAAAATATGAATTAGAAATTTTATACTTCTAATGGCTCTGTGTTCTTGAGAAGCAGATACTTATCACAGGCCTGTTTTCTTGGGGGAGTGTGCAAGGAGCTTTTGGAACAGGTTTCCTACTTTTTGGCTAATGAGGAGTGGGACAATTATTTATTCCAAGAAGCTGGGGCAGGGTTGACAGCCTGGGGGTAGACCTGAAAGAACAGTAACACTTTAGGCTTTAGTTGCTTTGAGATCCTTTAGAAACAACTGCCTTGATCTTTTAGTGCCCTGGTAAATCATTTATTCTGATCACCTACTTCAAATTCCCTCTCACCCATCCTATGGGATGGAAGGAGCTGGGTATAGAGCTCCTGGCCATAACCCAGCAGGTGAACTGCAACAGTGCAGAGCTTCAGCCGGGCTCCCAGAGCACCTGGCAAAGCTCCTGGGTCAGGAGCAGCCCCAGAAATTCAAATTCCTCTGACAAACAGGGTGTCTGGAGCTGGAGGTTTTGGATGGGATTTCTCCCCTCTCAGGTTGCAGGCTGCAGCCAGGACACATGCTGTGGAACACACTGCATCCCCTCTGCCTCTCCCTCCTCCCACATTGTCTTGGTGCTCCCTGACAATCTGTTTCAATTCCCCTTCACTTCAGCATGACCAGGGTCCCCCGGGTTACCCGATGATTCATCTCTCTGGAATTTGGGAGTGCTGCTTCTCTGCTCCTACCCAGACTGGCAAGGGGGTTATTAAAGCATCGGAGATTAACCAGAACCTCTTTTGGTGAATGTTTAGGTGAAGAGCACTTGATGCCAGACGTTATTTTCCATGTGTGTTCTGACACCAGACTTCGCTACTGCACCTCACGTTTCTCTGTGTGCGTGGGTTTGAACACCTTTTCCAACCACAACCCTATTAGAGGACCCCTGCTGCTTTGGGAATGCACATTGGGAATGACTTCAAGTGGAAGCGTGTTTGGATTGTCCTACTTCTATTTCTGAAGCCCTCTCAAGGGAGCTCGCTCTCTCTTCTCACCCCATCGCTTCCGATGGGGCCGAGTCACTGCATTCCGTGCGCGCACAGTGACACCTCAGAGAGACTTGGACTGTTCTCTTGTCTCACTTCCACTCTCTTCCAGGCTGGATGCACACCCTGGAGGTATGTGGTTTGTCTCAAGATATAAGACTTCCCCCCTCAGAAACTACATTACTTCAACAAGCCACAAAGGGCTGGCAAGAGGGAGAAGGATTGTTAGCGCAGCTTTCCTGGGAGATCTCCTCTGTGGACTCCACGCAGCTGGAAACAGCCTCTCCCTCTCCTGAGCTCACGTGTGTGGGCAGCCACACGTTCCCTCATGCAGCAGTTTCCCTGATGGGTGAGCACAGACACAAACACTTGCTTACAGAGGCACAAATACCTTCCCTGTTGTCCTTGCACGGGCGGAAATTCTCTGAGCGCGCGTGATCGTCACCCCCTGCAGCCCCCAACCTGCTCTTCCTGCAGGTGCATCAGTGCCCCAGAGCACGTGCACCCCTCTCCTGCATGCACAGGTATAGGTGCATCTACACAGCCTGCAGAGGTGTTGCAGAATTTGGAGGGAGAGATGAGCAAACTGAGCCTGAAGGGACCTCTTGAGGTTTAATCCAACCACTGTTCCAAGGAGGCTCACACCGAGTTCAGAAAAGGTTGCTCAGGGCTCTGTCCAGCCAGATGTTTAAAACCTCCTGAGTCAGAGATGTGATAGCCCTTTTTTTTTCTTTCCTTATACCCAGGCAGAACCTTCACTCCTTCAATGTTTCTCCTTTTTTTGACCTTTAATGTGTCTCTGACCCCCCTGCCACACACCTGAGCAAAGAGCCTGGGTCTGTCTCCCTGTACATGCCATGTGATCAAGAAGGCTACAATTAACTGCCCCTAAAACTTGAACAGGGTGGACAAACTCCCTTCTCTCAGCTTATCTCCATAAATCCAGCCCCTTGACTGTCTTCTTGGTGGCTCCCTGTTGCATTTGTTCAGGTTTATCAACATCTCCCTGGTACTTGGGAGCTCACAAATGGGAATACACCAGATGGGATCTAACAACTCACAGAGGGATAACAGATTCCCTCGACCTGTTGGCACAGGTGAGTGTGCTGTGAGCTTTCCTTGCTGCCAGGTGAGCTGGGTGTCCAAGTGGTCTTGGTTAGAATTGAAGGGATAACAAAATACTCAATACAAAATCCAAACACTGAGCTTTGCTTCTTACCTGTCTGGGCTCAGATTTAATGGATCTGAGACCTCAAGCAGTTCCAGGACCCTCTCCAGGAGATCACAGCAGCTGATCCAGCTTTGGGAGAACAGGATGGATCAGATGACCTGCCAGATCTCCTGCACATCTCCTATTTCTTTGATGTGACCATTTTTACTCCTCTTTTTTTTTGTTTTGACCTTGGAGATCCACTGAACATTTTCCCTTTCCTGTATTTGGAGGGATTCAGCCATTTGAAATCTTCCTTTCCTAGTATCCAGTGTCCACACTGGTCACAACCATAACTGCCCAAATCACAGGTTTAAAGTCTTGAAGTAGTTAATTTGGGGAAGAACCTCAGACTCCCTGGAGGCTCCTACCTACCTGTTACCTTGTGAGGCATGTGCTGAAGGGGAAGGGTATTTTTTTTCAGCTTGTTTTCAGACCCCAGTTGGGAGATCCCCTGTTCATACACTTTCCAACTTAAAGTGGAAGGGAATCCTGAGCAGAGCCCTTCAGGTGAATGGGAAAAATGGAAATATAACTTCAGGGTTTCGTTTTGAGAAAAAGAATCTAAAGGAATCTTTCACTTTTTCCAGCCTTTTCCCATTTTTTGCAGTGAAAAGTATTTGCTAAATTTTGCAAATGCTGTTGGATAACCCAAATCTGGCTAATCCAGTATTGTGGTGACTAAAATATGAGGCTAAAAAATTCCCCCAGCGCCAGGCTGTGTCCTGTTTGTGAGGCTGATTTCACATAACAGTAACTGTGGTGCAATCCAAACACCTGCCAGGTGGGCATGAAGTGATGTGACCTTGTGACTGTCACAGTCAGCTTGGTTTCAAACCAGGAGAAAATCTGGAGCAGGGTGTAGTTTTTGGGGAGGTGTTTCTTTCTCATTGTAGCTCTTATCTTCGCCACGTTTTTGTGATTTATTTCTTTTTCTTTACCATAAATCAGCCTGCTGGTGAGAAGATGACTTTATCCAGGAACTCTCCACTGCTGAAGGAGCTGAAGGCTAAAGACTCTCATCTGTCCCCAAAAAGCAGGAAGCACAGCCATGGATGAGGTAAGCACAGCAGCCTGAAATGGCTTTGAGTGTTTTACTCAGTGCAGTGCAGGGATCACCAGTGTGTAGAATTACATGTTGTACTGGTGGTTAACCAGCAGATCGTGGAATGGTGACCTGGGGATGCTTTCAGTCATGGACAGCTGTGGATTTGTATTTATATACACCTGTTTTACCTACCTAAGGCTCGGAGTCGGGGAGACTGATTTTGGGTTTGCTCAAGACCAGTATTTGCTGGAATGACTTAAGGCTGATAATATACTAATAGAAAATAGCAGTTGAGATCTATTATATATTTCCAAAGATGCTTACTTGTAAGACTTCAGTAACAATTATTTGTGAACTGTCTTTAAATTCACACAAGTGTGAACACCCCTCTCTGTTCATGTTCCCGTGTGCACCCTCAGTGGGCAGTGTCTGAGGACATCATGCACGTGTGAGGAGGGATTTCTTGTTTGGTGTGGACATCCTTCCACTCAGGCAGTGCCAGCGAGATGTTCATAGAATCACAGACTGTGTTGAGTTGGAAGGGACCTTAAAGTTCATCCACTTCCACCCCCTGCCATGGGCAGGGACACCTCCCACTAGCCCAGGTTGCTCCAAGCCCTGTCCAACCTGGCCTTGGGCACTTCCAGGGATCCAGGGGCAGCCACAGCTTCTCTGGGCAACCTGTGCCAGGGCCCCACCACCCTCACAGGGAAGAATTCCTTCCCAATATCCCATCTAACCCTGCCCTCTGGTAGCAGGAAGCCTTTCCCCTTTGTCCTGTCATTCCAACCCCTTGTAAAAAGTCTCTCTCCAACCTTCTTGTAGGCCCCCTTTAGGTACTGGAAGGCTGCTATAAGGTCTTTCCAGAGCCTTGTCTTCTCTGGGCTGAAAATGCTGTCCATGTTCATGGGCAGGGTTGCAGGCTGTGTTCACCTGTGTCAGGATGTGCCTCTGTCATTTTGCACAGTTCCTCCAAAACGTCACATGGGTGCATTTTAGGACAGAAGGAGCCCTGGCCAATTCAGGAAGTGACACATGCTTTTACATTCAGGGGCCAAATCCAGATTTTCCCACTGAAGCCAAAAGTATAAGCAACATAATTCCATGAGCATGTTGCCTCTGAGTGACAGTTTGAGTGCAGGGGGGTGACTGGGTTTGGCTGAGCTCTCTATTGCTCTGAAAAGAGCAGTCAATGCCCTTGACTAGCAAGTGATGCCAAGTGCCACATGTGTGATAATGGCCAGGGGCCTGGTCACTCTGCCCAGCCAGTCCCTGAGGATTTGGGTCTGGCCAGTAGCAGCCAGAATGCTTGGGAGACAAGTTTCTGTATGAAATTCTTCTCCAATGGAAGGTATCCCTGCCTCTGGCAGGGGAGCTGGAATAAGATGAGCTTTAACCCAAACCACTCTGTGATTCTGTGTAATTTGTGTTGCTGCTCTGTAGGGACTAAAGGGTAAAATCTCTCCTTTGTCTCAGATACAGAACACAAAGTGAAAATCTGTGACCCTGCAGGTTCCCAGGTTGCTGTCTGTGTGTGTGGATCTGGGTGTAGGGTGGGTTATCCTGCTGTTGGCAGGGGTGAATATGTGGGAGAGCAGAGCCTGGTCACACGTCTGTGTCGGTGCAGCTGCTGATGAACACGAGGGTGTTTGTGTCGGAGCTGTCTGGGGCAGGAGGTGCATGTGCTGTGTGTTATTCTCACATCCTTGCTAGCAGCAAACAATGTCACGTCCCTACCTGGACTGCAACGTGACACACACCTCAAAAACAGCAGCAAAGATGAGCTCCAGAGCCACAGGAGAAAGCAGAGCTGCTCTTTTTTTGCTCATCAGCCAGGAAATCCTGCCAGCCCCGGCAAAGCATGCCGGGATCCAAACCGGCTTTTGGGCTGGGGCTGGAGGGGGGGAGCAAAAGAGAAGCAGTAATTTGTTTGCCATCGCCCTGGAGCCAGGAAATCCAAACCTCAAGCATTTCCCAGGCCACAGCACATGGGAGTCGGGGGAGAGTGTCAGGAGTGGCTCCCAGGAGCACACCCACCCGTGTGCACACGCACGGGGAAGGGGCTCCGCTCCAGCACCACCGCCGAGATGCTGAGACCATCTCGAGTTTTCAGGCCATAGCTGTCAGGATGCTTCGGTATATTCATCACCCCCCACTCCGTGGTGATAAAAATTTACACAGCCAACGAAACGAAGATTAATTTCATGTGAAAAGCTGACAGAATGGCCCATGTCATTGCTTTATTTGTGCCAGCACTCAGTAACTCGGTGCAAGTTCCATCGAGGTGGCAGACACCCCGTCCCCTTGAGCCATCTCGTCTCCTCTCTAATGATGCCACCGTTTTGACAAAACCGAGCAACACAGCCGGTATGTGCGAATTTGGAATTAATTTTCCTCGGAAAGGTCAAGTATGTTAATGAGCTTTTGGCTGCCCGCGTTTTCTCTCTTGTGTTTTTCCCCCCCGTTAATGGGGGGAAGAGGGCGGGGGGGGGCAAAAAAGAAGGGGGAGAAATAATTACAGAAATAAAAAGGAAGGAAGGAGGAAAAGAAAGAAGCTGTGAGGAT